TTTCAATTACTGTCGTTGTTTTCTCACTGGGAAGTGTTACGTGTAAGTTGTGCCTGGTAATCAAACAAAAGGCATAGTGTTTAAATGGTGTCAAAACATGGCATGATATTTGACAAATGCACTCTCAATTTCCACTCAATATTATGGCAATCACAATTGGTAATGGTCAATTTTGATGAAGTAATGGTATCTTCTCTTCATTTAAATATAAAAAAATTCAAGTAAAAAATCAAATCATGGACGTTCGATGCACATTTTTCATACATTATGTGAGATCTTGCAGTGAACAGAAAATCACCTGCTGAATGCCTCCATGGATAGCCAAAAGTAATTGGGGAAAAAAAAATAAAGACATAATTTTCAACTTGTCTGCTCTTTGAAACTTGCTACACAAAAATGCTAATGCAATCCCTGGGAAATGTCTGGTTTATTTGAATATTTGCCAACTAACACCTCCAGTACATGACACGGATGGAGCTTATCAGCAGACGATATCTCATAATCTTGATTTCACACAAGCAGTTTTCACAAGAGGTGTATATATGGTGGCCGTTATCTAAAAAAACAGATGTGACTATGTTATCTTTTTGCACCTCTGTAATAAAAAAGATTGACAGGTGACTTCTAATTACATGTTAAACTTTTAATTGTATCTATGTGTCAGTTCATCCATTCCACATAAACAACAATATGGTTATATAGGATTAATCATTTTCAGTTTTATTCCGAAATAACCAGATATATTTCAATCTAAAGCACTTTTTACTTTAAATATATTCAACAATTTCACTGCTCACACTAATTCAACCTTTGCAATTAGCTGCTAATACATTAACGTAATTTGGAGACATGAGGTTCCCAAAGTTTGTTGACACAAAATACGTCATGAAGTAGTATTATATTTGAACTGAAAGCTTCCCAGCATGTCTGAATCCTGGCAAGCACATAGGTATACTTAGTTCATGTATATTTTTTTGATTTTTATTTGTCGCAATTCTTAATATTTGTGCATTGTTACCTTGCCCGTACCATCAAAGATGGAAGAGAAAGGTATATTAAGGGAAAAATTTTGTCCGGCGTTGTCATTGTTGTTGTTGTTGTTGTCGCCGTCGTCGTCGTCGTCGTTAATAATTGTTATTGTGTGCATAACTTTACTAATTCTTTTCCAAACTTCATCAAACTTGGTCACCTTATTCATCAGTATAAAGTCTTCCCTGAGTTTGAACAACAGATGTCCTGTATTAAAATATCATGCAAAAATTGAGAAAATCTAATAAAATATTTTGACTGTTTCTACTTGACTGATCACTGGTGATACACATCAAAGGTCACTGATCTCAGTGGAAATATGCATTGTTGTATGTGTTCAATGAAGCAAATCATTTATCTTGTAATAATATCTTTGGTAATGTATCCCCCAAATCCCATGGGAATACTATGTCAGAAAATCAATATAAGCACTCCTATGAACTGGGTGTCAAACTTTGATCAAGATCTGAAGCTAATAGAAAATCTGTTCAGCTCAAAGTTATCAAATCAAAAACAATACATAAAAAATACATAAAAAGCAAAACATTGCATCCACATTTTGAAAAGAAAATTGTACTAAAATATATGTATTCTGTATTTGACAAACAGTTCATTCGACAAATGAAAAATCACAGGAATATGTTTCAGCTATTAGAACAGAATGATAGTTTTTATAATACTAGTTTAAAAACGCACTTCAAAAACAAAGATTGCAGTGTTTGAAGATGTAGATTCTCAGGAGGCAACAGTACTGTTGACTTCTCCCTCCACTGCACACCAACTATTTAAGTTGAGTTGAGCTTGCAACATGATAGCTATTCATAGAGGGTGTTTTTTTTTTACTTTTCATATAATACAGTAGTCACACAATGAGGCAGTTCATATTTGTCTCAGTGAATCATTAATTTTTGACAGACACCTGTACAAAATACTTGGACAAAAGCAGCTAAGATTTTCTGTTATCTTGCATGTTTTTCATGAATCTATTCACGTCTAAATGCAGCACTTTTTTCTGCGATGAGGCATTTGTTTTTATACTAA